GGGTCTGGCTTTTTTTTTTTTTTTTTTAAATTATACTACTTAGGTTAGCAAATGAGGCGTGCCAAGTGAGAGTAAGGTAGCCCGGCGTCTTCCAGGTGGCGAGGGAGGTATTGCTGCACCTCAGTCCTTGAACTGTCTCGGCTACGGGATCGCTACGGTTTTTTGGGAGTCGCAGCCTTCCAGGTGCAGTGAGCAAATTCACCCTTGCCAGCCTCTGCTCAGGTGATTGCACTGGCAGTCTGCAACAGTCGCTCGGCTGTGAGCGTTGGCGCATGGATCGACACGTCTCTGTTGGCAAAGCTGTCCCTGCTTGAAAAGAAATCTGTCTGATAAGCCGTTGTAAAACCTTCGATACCTCACTGCAATGTAAAAGCCCTCCACACTTATGTCTGTGTGGATGTATGCGTATTAAAAAACAACACATGGCGTCAGAAGGGATCTGAGATCTTACATGTGCCAAAGGTACCCCTGGTTAATTCACCTGTAAGTAGATCCCTGCTTACTTTAGTTGAGAGGCCAAAATCAGCCAAGTGTGTTGGCTAATTTAATTGTCTGTATGGATACGCTTGGTTACAGTAGCTGGTATAATTAGCAGTACCAGTGCAGCAAGCCAGTGAGAATGGAGGACTCTTGGCCAAGTCGAAGCTGGGTTAAGCAAGAAATGTGTCAGTGAGAATTAACTGTTTTATTGAAGGATGCGGAGTTGGTGTTCTGACAGAAAGTCTCCTGTGGCCTGTATGCCTACAGCAACTCTACTTCTCTAAGAGAAAGTCAATGCTTCTCTAAGATCTAATGTGCCCCTGTCCTATGCAAACCTGGTATATGCTCATTTTACTTAACAAGTTACTGACCTAAGTTCTAAATTGGCTTTAGGTTAAACTGTGTATTATACTTCGAAAGCAATTGCCTCACTTGTTTTTCCATAGGTATTAACTGTAACATCCTTATCTACTCCACAGATACCAATCCTTTTTCATGCAAATGGAGGATAAGTGCATTAAGTTAGTGTAATCAAGTTAAACTAAGCAACTGTGTTTATTTCAAAGATTTGTTGCTTCTGGTTTAGACCCAGCAAAGAACTTGTGTTTCTAAAAACTTGCTGTTTTTTCGATGTACATGAAATTTAATAACACTTTTCCTGTATAACTCTGGCTTTGCTTATATCTGTAGTAGCTCTGTAGCTATGAGAGCCTACTACAGGAGGTGCCAATATTGACTCTAGATAAACGTTCCTGTGCTGTTTTGATATTTCTTCCATTTCTTACTGGTGTTACTGCCTTTCATCTATGCCAGAACCTTTGCACACATTTTGTCCCATTTTAAAGGGAACAAAGAACAGAAAATGTTTGCCCTATGACTCCTTTTCAGAAAGAAGAGCGTGTTTCCCTACCCACTGTGTTTTTGACAAATGGGTTTTTGTTGTTGGAATAGTTTAATGTCCTAATGTTTCTATTTCAGAAAACTCACTTGCTCTGTTCTAGCAGTGGCCTATCTGTTTTCAGGACTGGCCTTGTTTCCTGTGTACAAAACCTCAGACTCATGATAACACATATATATCCACAGGCTAAATTTAATGAACTTTGCTCAGAGTAGCAGAGATCCAAGTAACTTATCTCTTGGCACTTGTAAAACAGTATGACCTATACCTATAGATAGTAATGTTAACTAAGATGTGATCAAACTGGGCATGTAGTGCCAAAGGTTGAAGTGTAAGCTTTAAATAGAGATGACAGCAGCTGTGAAGTTAAGTGCATACCTGAGATGGTATGTTTCAAGCCCATGATATTTGCTTAGTGCACGGAGGTGAAGAGAAGAAAGTGAACAGCTTTTAAATGCATTCCTAAACAAACCACTCTGTTCAATTGCAAAAGCAGGCTCTCCTCAATAATGGTAGTACTGGTAGTTGAAACGCTAGTAGTGACAGCCAGTAATTTACATGGTGTGTTTTGGAGATGTATAAGCATTGTATTCTGAAGCTCCCTATGCCGGCAGTTTTTCAGCAGGGTTGAGACTTGGTCTGCATATGATTTCTTGATGACAGGGAATGCCTACAAAGCAAGAAAGTCATGGTCCTAAAAGGAGAATTCTTCCTTACCTAAAGTATTAGCTTGTGAGCACCAAAGTTGTTTGATCAAGTGGTAAGTTTTGATTTGTAATTGCCATGCATTTCTGCGTGGCAAGATACTCAAGGGGCAGCTATCACTTTTTTGATTCTAGTTTTTGAGTCCACGTTCTGCCAGAGCAGAGATGGAAACCCATGATGTGAGAGGTGGGGAATTTCTAAAGCAGATGAGGGCAGGTGTTTCCTGTCTCTGCCAAACGGTAAATCAATTGTATGCTGCGTTCTGGAGGAGAGTAGGAGCAACCTGGAGATGATACAGAAATAGGACAAATGGGTCAGATGTGCAGATGTAAGCCTATATATTTTTTTTTGAAACACCACTTAGAAGCAGGCTGGAGAAACTATTTAGAATGGATCTGAAAATGCTTTTCAATTTTGAAATACTGATGCTTGCATTTTCCCTCTTTATGGTTTATTCTGTCTGGTAAACATTTTCTTTTATCAGGTATCTGAAGAAATAGCCTCAAGATGAACTTCTTCCTGGAAACACTCCAAGTCTTCGGACTTTCTGTTTATTACATATTGGAGTCGCTAGTGTTCTTGGTTGTGCCTAGACGGAAGAAGAATGTTAGTGGTGAAATAGTATTAATAACAGGAGCGGGAAGTGGCATTGGAAGACTCTTATCTTTAAAGTTTGCCAGCCTTGGAGCCACAGTGGTTCTCTGGGACATTAATCAAGAGGGGCTCAAGGAGACGAGTAGATTGGCCAGAGAAAATGGAGCAGGGAGAGTACACTGTTACATCTGTGACTGTAGCAAAAGGCAGGACATCTACAGAGTAGCTGATCAGGTAAAGTATCTTATTTGTGGCTTTGACACTATTTGAAGATGAGTGCATGCACGTGTGTATGATGTATGGTAAGTTTTAGTGACTTCAAAGCAAGAGATTAAAATTAATTTGTTCAGAATGTATTGCGCATGCTACTTATTTCAAGAATACTGTTTTTTAGAGTTGACTTGTGTACCTCTGTTCCTTTAAAAATAAAAAGAGCTGTTTCTCTTTTTCAGTAGCTAATTTCAACTAGGTAGCTTCTCATTCATTCAATTACTCAGCAACCGCTTACTGGTGAAGTGCAGAAAATCAATTTATTGAAGCTAAAGCAGTATTTCAAGTTCTGGCAGCCTTTTACCAAAAGTAAACCCTAAAGACTGTACACTGTAAAAAGGGTTAACTGCTTAGGCAATTTTCAAATAATTCCATGGCTGTGAATAGATTTTTGCAGACTTGCTTTGTCAGAATTAATAAATGTATCTTGAAGTCTTAAATATTTCTTACTTTCCCTTCTGAAGAGCTTTGTAAATATCGCATGTGGTTAGATATTTTGGGGCGGACAAGTAGAATTGCCAAAAGCTAAAACTGCTTAAGTTTCCATTATAACAACCTGTTCTCATTTGCTTAAAATGTTGCTAAACTTAACTGTTGAGCTAGAAGGCTTCCACAGTGAGTGCTTGCCTGAGGATGGATTCTTAAAAAAAAAAGTTCAGCTGTCCTCAGGAACATCTGTTGGCTGAAATAATATTCCTCTTTTGGTGCTGTTTAAGCAGCTCTAGCCTTCTGTGTTTTTCTCTGGGCAAAAATGACCAGAACGCATTTGTTCTGATAAGTGAAGCTTGCTTGTTGGAGGCTGGTATTATTTGGTTTGTATTCTGGTAATGCTGGTCACCCTTGCAGCTCTGTTATGCCAGCTGAGTTGCACATCTGCCATCCCTGCAGAGCAGTTGCACGTGTCTCACTGCAGGCCTGTAACTGTGCTTCCCGCTGAACTGGTAGGAGTGGAGGAGGAGGGAGTATTGTGGTATGAAGGACACTGGAATGAAGAAGATGGAAACTAATCTTCAGTTTTGAGGACTCAAGGGCTAGCACTTCAATTCCATGGAGAAAAGCAGTAGCAGAGCCTTTCTGGCCAAATAGAAAAAGGAGAAGAGGGTGTAGATGTGTGTGGCACAGGTTAGAGATGATAAAAACAGAGGCAGACGGAAATGAAGAAGTGGTGAGAGGGTCTCAGTGCATGATTCCTCACTTACAATCTTCTGTCAGCAGTTCACTAACAGCTGGTCCACATAGAAGAAAAAAATACCCTACTGTTGTTATTTCAGAAGCTTCATATCCTGCTGACAACTTTCCCATCTTATTAGTGGCAAAAAGGCTTTATTATTAGTGCTTGGTGCCACTGTTTACCTAATGTGATGTAGTAGACTTTGGCTCATAGCGTGCAGCATCAGCCTTTGCAAGATGAGGCAGCATGGTTCCACGTTTTAGTTTTCCCCCTGCCCCGGTGATTCAGCTTCATGCAATGGCTTGGAGTTTTGGAAGACTATAGTGAACTAAATTCAGGCAGGCAGGAAAGGAGATGGTTGAAAACTCTGTGCCCAGTAAAACAATCTCAAAGCCAAAAGGAAATGTATGTGAACCTTAAAAACCTGCTTCTGATACTTCATCAGCCACACAGAGAGACCAGGAAAAAGTCACTTCAGTAGGAAGAAAACTAAAAAGCCCTGCACATGTGGTGTCCTTGTTCCTTTCTGATACCAACAGGATGAAGGACAGCTTATGGCTATCAAGCTATAGCTTAAAATTTATTTCTAATGTCTCTGTTCCAGAAGTACCCAACCCCAAAAGGAATGTGGCCTTCTCTGACCTATGCCTCCCTCCTTCCTTCGAGTTCAGCTAAACTGTAAGAATCTAGGGCTTTGAAAGAGGGAAGTAACTCTGTTTTTTGGTTGTCCTACTTGTGAGGAGACAGAAACCTTTTCCTCATTATCATGTTGCAAAATTGCATCTGGGCTCACATTTACTTCCAGGATCTCTCTTGCATGGTACTTTTTTGTTTATCCACCATTTTTTCTTGCTTGTTAGTCAAGATGACAGTTTGCAGCCAGTTTTCTGCTTTTCTGAGAATCCTGTTTCCTGTGCAGAGGAGCAACAGTGGAAGCACATTTCCTGGTGGTGTTTCATGCTGCCTATAAAACATCCAGTGCTTTCTTCCACTTCTTGTAGACAGTTGCGGAGGGGTTTGTGGGTCTTAGGAAGTAGACACTTTGGGATGCTGTTTGGGAATCATGGGAATTGCTCACTACTAAGCTTCAATATAAAAGTCAAAATACAAATGCAGAAACAAACAGGAAGTAGTGTTTATACCTGAAAAAAGATGTTTAACCAGATCAGCTGTTTGCATAATGCTTGCCTTACCTAGGCCTAAAAGAAACACCTGGAACATATTTTACTGCAGTGCACAAATGGAGATGCTTAGAGCTCTGGAAAGTTGACATTATCCCCCTGCCCTTAATAGCTAGGCAACAGGCTCGGTAAAGGTCTGCTGTACTTGGCCTCAAAGCAGAGTGTAGAAGCCTGGACTGAATGTCTTAGCCCTGTCATGCACAGGAGAGAGCCAAAAGGAGAAAGGAATTAAAACAGCAAATTTGCTGAGGAAAGAGCTGCCGCATCTAGTTAGTGGGGAAGCAGCATGAACAGAGGTGTTGTAAAGCTGGAATTATTTGTCTGGGTTGCAAGAAAGCACTCAAATTTGCTTTGAATTCCATGCAAAGTGTGAATATATTTTGGAAGACTGAGTAGAGGCAGGTGGTAAAGGAAGAGGTTGTTCAGGTTTTCACCAGTAGTTAAAGAGATGGGATGATCAAGGTTCTGTTCTTATTTTGCTTTTCCCATCTAGCCTGAATGCCTCAATCACCATGTTATAAACTGTACGTACCACATCCTCCTCCTCTGTCTGTCTTTTGTTTGCACAAAAGAAGCCTGACCACTTAGAGGTGCTTGTTATTTACCCAAAAGGGTAGATCTGGGGTACTGGTCCAGGCTTCCAGAATTGCTAGATCATCTGACAAGAGGCAGTATTAAATCATCATTTACTAATGATTACATTTATGTCTCTGAATGCATACTATTTTTAACTTGTGATGAGGGGTACATGCTCAGGTTGGTGACTAGAACAACTTGTCTAAGGCTGCCTGTGGAGATCACGTGGTGCTGCTTCAGAAATATCTAAGTTGTTACATGACAACTTTTTGAGAGGGGAGTAGACAGACAAGAATGTGTGAGCAATGACTGAGGTGGAGAGGGGCTCTGGCTGATGAATTTATTACAAAAGCTGTTCTGTATAATCCTACCAAGGCTGCTTTCTGGTTTTTTAAACCCTTACTTAACAAATGTGGACAAGATTGGAACAAGTTTAAGGAAGGTGAGGAAGCTAAGCTAGAATAAAGGATGGGTGGTAAATTATCCTTTAAATCTTTACTGTTATACAGGCTAGCCTACCTGGTCTGCTTGTGCTTTCTTCGGTTGCTGTAGGCACCTAGCAACAGAAATGCCATTAAGAAATGAGGTTCTGTGATCTGCAACTGTGTGGCAAGATGGCATAAAAACAACATGGTTTCCCAAGGCTACTGATCACCATATGTTTAACACTTGATGTGGAAATCACAAATTAAACAACATCTAGAGTACTCATTTCCTTTTTTCCCAGACAGCTCAGGTTAATGAACTGTACTTCAAATACTACATTAAATATTTTCATTCTCCTTTTGAGAGCTGCACAATATCTTGATATCAGCTGGCCTATAGTTGCTCTCTCAAGTGAGTCTGTTCATAAAAGTTCTCAGTCTGGAGCTAAAATGAGAACTATACGTTTTACTGAACTAAATGTGTAGATATTATTCTTTAGCTGACCTGTTTCTCTGGGAACCATCTTACAAGGATTCTGGTACAGTGTTAGAATTGCAGCAAATACACTAGAAGCAAGCTTATGCACTGTGAGCTCCAGAAGCTCACAAGGCTTTTGCCTTCTATGAATACATATGTCCTAAAATCTTCCTTTATTCAGAATCCTACAGCTTTTGTTTAATTTTAGTAGCAAACTACTATCCTTCCTACAGTTTTCTCATTTCTAGTGCTGTCTTGCGAGCTAATATCAATGGAGACATGGTGTTCTTTCAGGCTGTCTTCATGAGAAATAAACTTGCAAAAAAACCTTTTTGTTTGGTAAGGTAAATTCTTAATCCCTGGACTGTTGGGAGGCAGGCAATTAACGCTACCAACAGGGAATCCAATTTTCCTTCTGCTCATCAAAAGACTCAAGTACTGTGCAAGTTGGCTTCAGCCTTCAAGTCATATGGCAGCACTGCTTCTGTGCTCAAGTTGCTCTGTGGAAAACACAACAGGATTTGAGTATAATGCAAGGAACCTCACAAGTGAAAGTTTAATATTGGAGCCCTCACGTAGATTTGATGTACCTGGTTCTGGTGAACTTGCCTGAGGATCTATGTGCTGTGCCTCACTGCATGGCGTAGAAATGACCCTACAAACAGAACTGCTTATTGGTTTTAAGATGGGTTTACTGTAGCAAAATACTTGTGTTAGTTAAGCTCTCTGCAATAGAGACTTATCTGGAGCAGTTGCAGCAAGAACTGGAGGTGCTGAAAGCAGAAGCCTGTGTGGAGCTGTTGGGTTCCATGCCTCCAAAGTCTGGTTGTAAACTCAGCTCTAAAAAGGTTTCAGGTGAGAACATGCAAGAACCTAAGGTGTTTGGATCTGCAACAAGCATAGTAAGTTCAATGTAGTTGAAATGTGCAATGTTTCTATTTCTTATGTTTTCATATATAAAACTCAGAAAGCATGTTTTGTATGTATTGCATAATACCTTGAGGCTTTTTGGTTTAGGTTAAAAAAGAAGTTGGCGATGTTAGCATCCTCATCAACAACGCTGGTATTGTAACTGGGAAGAAGTTTGTTGATTCTCCAGATTCACTTATGGAAAAAACCATGGAAGTGAACATAATGGCACACTTCTGGGTAATACCTGTACTTTGCATATACATACTAAAACAGCCTTTTAACATGTTTTCAGTGTTAACTTTGCATTTTGGAATTGAGGAAAATATGCAAGTATATATAGCTCCTTGTAAGTTCAATCAAAAATGATACAAGAAATTACTCTCCATGCCTGGGAGTCTGTAAAATAAAAAAAAAAGGTGGAAGAATGGATCCTTTGGGAACTTCTGGGGTAGGTGGGTGGAAGCAAAACTGCTTTGTATTTAGAAATGCTCTTAAGAACTGAAGTTTACCATTTGCATTACAGTCCCTCAATATTAATTGACATGAAGCAGGCCCAGCCTAAAAGTTGCTGCTGTAGTAACAGAAGTGTTCAATTCTGTTAGTGTTCTAGTTGCTTTGTGGTTATGATAGTTTCAGTAAAAAAATACCACGTGTTCAGACAATGCTCTTAAGTGGGGCTTTTGTCCAAAATGAGTAAATGTATGTGCTTTTTCTTCCTTCCAGGGAAGGCAGGTCATCTATATGGTGCTCCTATCATAAAGAATTGCAAAGGGGGTACTAAAGCATGCTTCAGTTTCTTCATAAATAAATTTCATCACAAAGGTTAAATGAATTTAATAGAAGGAAGATATGAAATTCAAATTTTTGCCATCTTACAAAATTTGCATTGAACACTTCATTTTCATTTGAAACATTGCAGTGCTGAGCTTTAGGCTGAAAGAAACGTAACTAGCTGAAGCTGTATCTTTAGCTTTCAGCAAGTTACCATCTGCCTTTGGTGTTGAGGAGAAGGTGATACTGGTGGGGCCTGGAAAGTCCCAGCTTAGCAGTTGAAGGTTAGAGTTCAAACAACAAACCTCCCCCCTACTCCCTTTCATAATGGAAGGTAGGGGAGCTTATTTAGGCTGTAGGGAGAATTTCTTTAAAAACGCCACCTTCAAAATATTATAGTACATAGCTTGCTTAGTAAAATGTTTCATTGCAACTCTGACCTACATTGCAGACTTACAGAGCCTTTCTCCCAGCAATGATGGCCTCTAACCATGGGCACTTGGTTAGCATTGCAAGTCTGGCAGGACTGTCTGGATTCAGTCATCTTACAGGTAGTATATTAAATCTAATGTTCATTTAGACAACTAGTTTGATTTAAACTCTGCAATCAATACTCATGAAAAAAAATCACAATTTTGAGTTTCTGGGCCTTTGTGTATAGGTAAAGCAAATGGTCATACTTTCAAACCAGCTGACCTTAAATAGACCATTTGTTTCAAAAGAGTTTTCCAGATGCTCAGCAGTGCTGTGAAACAGGTGTTTTTTCTGCCAAGGCAGTTAGAGGATCTAGGAGCCATATAGAACTTTGGAAACTGAGAACTTCAATGTTCTTAAATTTAACCTGCAAGTATTTGATGGGGAAGGGGCCTCTTTTTTGTTTGTTTGGTGGTTTGGATGTTTTTCGGTTTTTGTGGTTTGTTTGTTTTTTTTTTTTCCCAAGCATGTTCTCAAAATAAGCAGAGTCCTATACAGGTTTCCCTAACTCAAAGAACTACTAAAATCTGGATGAGGTACAGAGGCAGAGGTGTGATAGCTCATTTTGCATTTTCTGTCTCTCAGCCATTCATTCAAGAGGACCTATACAGTGATGGAAAGAAAGTGTTGAGATTAGGGCAAACTCAGAAGGCATTTCTGGAAAATGTATGTAAAGGGGAGGAAAATGAAATAAGATGACATAGCAGTAAAAGAAATCTAGCTTCAAGGCAGTGATAATGAAGACAAATTGAGTTTCAAGTTGAAACCACATTAGAGAGTCTTGAAAGCTTGAGTTTGATGTGTAAGAAGCCAGTGCATGAATTCAAAGGTAAGGCCTGGTATGAAAAGATAATTTCGTTTGCTATTGTTCAGTAGAGAGTGCAAAGGTGATAGTGGGGATACGATGAGAAACCCTCTGTCTGCCAGTCTAGAACAACAGTTAACTTGGGAGAGGGAAAGTAAAGGAGCGAATTGCATCAAAGGCAAATTTGGTTAGTAACCTAATCCTGAAAACAGTTCCTACTCTGTTATAAAGTATTTTATTGTCAGACAGTAAGTTCCTGCAGGTACTGTGTATGTATCATTTCTATACTATAGTGCTGCTGTTGTATACTGGGGAGGGAAAAGAAAAAAACAAACCAAAAAAACCAAACCAACCTGTGGCTAGTTAGTTTACTAGAGCATAGTTTTGTCCCTGTTCTCTGTCAAAAACTGTTACTACTCCTGTGTACAGGTTCAGTGGTAGAACTCGCTGAACCTGTTTAGCCAAGTTTACTTGCAGTTAAACATTTTAATTTACTAATTAATGTTTTATTTATTTTACAGATTACTGTGCAAGTAAATTTGCAGCAGTTGGTTTTGCAGAGGCTGTTGATGCAGAGATGAGAGGTCTGGAAAAGACTGGTGTTAAAACGACAATTGTGTGTCCTTCCTTCATAAACACAGGAATGTTTGATGGCTGTAGAACCAAGTGAGTAAACTCTTGTGAGGTTTTTGTGCAACTTGCATGTTTAGCATGTTACATACTCCTATTTCTTCTATGAAAATCATGAGCTAGGCTTTTCTCTGTTATTTTTAGGGCCTCAGATGGGTGCTAACAGTGCTGTCCAGTGACTGGGCAACCCAGATGGCAAAGCCCTTGGTACTTTACTGTTCATGTAAGCTGAAGCATGAAACGTAATTGGTGTCCTTTCCTCTGCAGAAGCCAAATGCTCTAGTTGTCCTCTCTGGTTTCTAAACACCCATTCACATCCTGAAATCAGTGGCATAGCTTTGCTCAGTATGCTGGTATAATGACAAATTTAGGAGATGAATAAAAGCCTAGTATGTCTTAGTATGAGGATCATACAAAGGGAAGATAACAATGGCCACTCACTCTCTAACATAATGAAGGTTCTGTTCTTCATAGGATTTGTGGTATTTATATCTTCTTTTGGTTGAATAACTGCAAAATAGAGACTCACTCTGAGTAAAATCTGAATCCAAAGCAATTTGTATTATAGTAAGAAATGTCTTCTCTTCCAGGTGGCCAAGGCTGTTGCCCATTCTGGAGCCAGAGTATGTGGCTGAGAAGATAATCACTGCTATTCGTCAGGATCAAAAAATGTTGTTGCTACCACGCTGTCCTTATTTGCTTTACGCTTTGAGAAAGTAAGTTATGCCTTTGCTTCTTTTCCTCTCTCTTTCTGTCCAGGGATGTTGCAGCTATGTTTTTGACTAAAAGTGCCAACCAGGCTTCTACCTGTTATTTTCATTAAGTTCTGCACATTTCTGGAGTTTTCTTTTTTGTTTCTAGGGGTTCAGTCTACACTTGGACCACAGAACAATGACAGAAATGTCTAACTGACTTGCTGACTCCATTGGGGTGCAATTTTACTGTGGGCTGTAGAGTCTGGGCCTGCTCCTCAGTAACTGCATGTCTGGTGTCTTGCCCCAGCATTAGGGCACTTCTGACTCTGTTGCAAGCCAGGCTGGGAAATCGATCTGTCTGGGAATCAATCTGGGAAATTGATAACTCAGGCTGCCAAATGAGTGTAATGGAGAGGACAAGTGGTACGATATTCTAGAGACTATACTGTCTTTCCCAGTATTAGCCAGGTAAAACTAATTCTGTGATAAAACTGCACAAGTCTTCTGATGTCTGTGTTTTCTTTTTCTCTTCAACTCCCCTACCTTACAGTATTGTACCAGCGAAAGTACAGGCTCTCTTAGAGGTCTATCTTGGAGTCCTCCATAACATGGATAGCTTCAAAGGTCAAGCAAAGAAGGACTGAAAAAGTGCAAAATTCGGAGACCAGCAACTCTAAAGTGGACCTTATTAAAGGTGGTGGTGGTGGCGGTGGCAAAGGTCTGCTTGTCTAGCAGCTATGAACTTAATGTGCCTCACTTCTCATTAGTAACAATTTTTACAGAAATTGCTTTTTGATTGGCTCTTAATCAACAGCTTTCACTTGAACCATTTTTTTTCTGATCCAGTGAACTGTTTTCACCTCATTATGGAAATACATTAATTGAAATTAGTTCCTTTTGTTATGTCTGTTAGAATGCCTTAAATATGATCCTGCATCACAAACTAGTAATTGGCAACTTTTGGGGGAGAAGGGACCAAGAAACCACATGTATTTGGCAGGGAGCCAGGAAAGGCTCTAGTGGATCTGACTACTTGCTGCTATTCACTGAACCATGAGGAGGGGCTGTACTGCTGGTGCCATTACCATTCCCCGGTAAGCTGAAGAATTCAAGAGTGTCCTGGAACAACGGATTCAAATTTATACTGTCCTGGTTTTGGCTGGGATAGAGTTAATCATCTTCCTAGTAGCTGTGTTCTGGATTTAGGATGAGAATAATGTTGATCACACACTGATGTTTTAGTTGTTGCTAAGCAGTGCTTACACCAGTCGAGGACTTTTCAGCTTCCCATGCTCTGCCAGGTGCACAAGAAGCTGGAAGGGGGCACAGACAAGACAGCTGATCCAAACTGATCAAAGGGGCTATTCCATACCATATGATGCCATGCTTGGTATATAAACTGGGGGGAGTTGGCTGGGGGGCAGTGATTGGTGTGTGGGGACCAGCTGGGTGTCAGCAGGTGGTAAGCACCTGCATCACTTCCCCTGCTCCCTGGGTTTTGTTTCTCTCTTCTCCTTTTCATTATGATTTTTATTACTATTATCTTATTTCATTTATTAAATGGTTCTTACCTCAACCTATGAGTTTCCTTACTTTTGCCGTTCTGATTCTCTCCCCCATCTCACCAGGGAGGGTAAGTGAGCAGCTGTGTGGTGCTTGGTTGCTGACAGGGCTAAACCATGACATACACAAAGGGAAGTTTTGTGAAATGAAAATATGTGCTGCTGTGGTGCAAAACCAATTAAATATATTCATTTTTGGAGGTGGTGATCTCGGGACTCAGAGATGACTATGGATGTCGGAGCAGGGAGGGGGAAGGATGTCAATTACATGCTTATGCTGCTTTGTAGTAGAAGTCTTTGTATCTTATAAGTGTGATATTTTAAGAACAATTTTAAACTTTCATCTCCTAAGCAGAATAAACTCAGTTATAAGCATAAGACTGCCAGTCTAGGTGGGCTATGAAACATCTTGCCAAGTAAGTCAATGTACTACTAAAAGCAAAGGTATTACGTTGTATAATCAGGGCTTCTCTTGGGATTATTTCAGAAAGGAATGATGCTGATAGAACTGGACTGAATGGGATCATTTCAGCCATAGCTTGAGTAACAGCATTATATTTTGCTCTGAATTGGGCAGCAGGTTGCCTTGTGTCTACAGAGACTTGTTTTACTTCCCCTTTACTCTTAGGACTATCCATCTATTTTGGACATATGCTGAGGAGGCCTTGCCCTCTTTGACAATGGCCACTTAGAAAACTGAAAGCTGCCTTGACTTTTTGGTAAATCCAAAACAAGAAAAGGGAAGGCTATACCTTAAATGTATGTAATTTATGCACATGCTGGCTAAGCCTACCTCATGTCACAAGTACTCTACTGACAATTGGTAACACCTGCAAACTAAGACTAAAATGCATTAGCATGCAATTAATTGAAGGACAGTGTGGAGAAAAGGGTGATTTTTTTGTGTGTGTTTGTTCGGTGTTTCCCCCCACCCCCATGATGGCCTAGAAACTACCTTCATATCCTTTGTCTATACAATTAGTAAGCTTTACCAGCAAAGGAAGGTTTACATAGAACTACTTTACTACACATGAGCAAGAAACACTGAAGGAAAAAAAAAAAGCATGTTAAAAATAGCCTGACCTTTATGATGGATTGATGGGAGTTAGAATTCAGACTGAAGGAAAGATTTGTCTTACAGTCCTTTCAGATCTGCAGCTTTTCTACCTCAGAAATTCTGCTTATTTCATGGTACACTTCAGGAAATGAAAGTTACTAATTAAAAAACAGATGTTGCCTAAATGTGCTGTCCATGTGTACATTGCACTGTTCACAAAGTTAGCCACTAATAACTGGTATATCGTATCTTGCAGACTCATCACCTTTTTATACTAACAGAGCATACTTTTCATCCTAACTATGAAATACTAGGTGTGCAGGATTCTGGAGCAAAGGAGGGGAGATGTGGATTATACATATGAACCATATGTTTCAAACTCCAGCTCTTGTGAGAGCGAGTAGCTTGCCATTCTTGGTGTCTCTGCAAACATGTCCTGCTGAGAGAAATCGAAAGCAATGAGTCTGGCTGTGGGACTTGTGGATTCTCAGGAGGTTCAAGTTTGTCATACCACTAGGAAGATCTCACCTGATCACCTGTGCCAAAGAAGTACATTTCCAGAGGGATTTTACTACTTCAGAGTCACTACTCAAATCAAGGTCAATTAGAGCAGGTTGCTCAGTACTGTGTCCAGTCAAGTTTTGAGCATCTCTAAGGCTGAGACTGTACAATGTCTCTGGGCAACCTGTTCCAGTGTTTGTTTACACTCAGTTTAAAAATAAGTAAATGAAAACTATGTTTAAATTGAATGTACTTTTCTCCAATTTGTGCCTGTTGCCTCCTTGTCCTTTCAGTGGAGACCACTAAGTCTGGCTCTGTTTTATACCTTCCCATCAGGTACTCTGGACATTGAGCCTGAGCTTTTTCTTCTCTAGACCGAGCAGTTCCAGCTCTCTCAACCTCTCCTATATGACAGGTGGTCCAGTACTGTAATTGTGTTTGCAGTCCTTCACTGGACTCAGTTCAGTATGTTCATATATTTTAGAGACCAAGTTCTGTAGTAGATTGAGTATGCATAATCTGTCATACAGAGCTTTGCTAGAAAAATCTCTGCCAGCTAGCTGTCCTGGTAGGAGTACACAAAACCTGCTTTCATGCAAGTGTGCTGCTACTGCTTTGAATATTGTGGTCACTGTCAAATTACTTCATGTAACTGAAGGATAATAGCCTATCCTGTTGGTGGTTTTGATCTCCCATGTTTCCTGAGGTGTCATGACAGATATGTAGAGTTGTATCCTGGAGGTCAAGCAGCACAAATCCTTCCCCTGTGTTCAGGAGGTGGTATGGGATGAGTGTTAGGATCTTCAAGTAACGTATGAACTTCTTGAGATAAAGATGTCTTACTTCCAGTATAACAATGATCTTAATCAATTACTTTCCTGATGCCAAGAAGGACTCTTTCTTCCTAATCTCAGCAAGAAAACTCCTCACAGAAGGATTGCTGTGAGACCCAAACAAGAAGATAGAACATGAAATGGAAGAGCATCTCAGTTGTGACAGTATTGTGTCTGACAACAGCAGGGGACTGCTTTCTGAAGTACATCAGGCAGCTCTCACAAAGGAATTCTTGGTTTCATGACCATTGCTTGAAACTTTAAATTGTCTCTGACAAAATGACTGGGTCCCAAATTTGACTGGGATGGCTGCATTGGCTTGAGAATCACTGATACAGTGATTCAATGACAGTCCATAACATGGTATTCTGTTGCCTGTTGTGTTTCTTTTCTGTGTGAGTTCATATTTCTGTGGTAGCAGAAATCTTACTATCCTCTAATACTTAAAGCACAGAAAATAATTTTTCTTGGCACTAACTTGATCCTCTGAACAAGACTGAGGAGGAAAACAACAACAAAAAAACCAGCAGCTGAGATACAGGCTCTATTATTTATTTTATGGATTTGGAAATCATACCCAAGAGCAATATGCAGCTGCTTGGAAGCTGGTCTTCATGGTGGTCTGATCTCATTTCAGGAAGGAACTAAGCAGATACCTCTTTTCTGGTAACTTTCCTAGGAGCAGTTAGTTATCTTCTGAAGATACCTGTGTGGACTGCATGCTTTGCTAAGCAGCTGTCTAAAACCATAGGCTTTGTAAAAGAAATCTTTTAACAAATTAACTTAGCTTCTCTGACTGACTTTTTCCTTGCTGTGACAGTCAGGAGAGGTAGGTTTGGATCCACAGCTATCAGATATTCCAGGTGAATGCAGAACTACTGTCTCTCCAGTGAGACTTAGCAAAGTTATTGATGCTTCAATAGGTAGGGGAGCATTACTGGCAGTGGCTTTTGTCCGCTCTGTGTATAACACGCTTTCTCCATAGCCCTAGGTGTCTCCAGCTTAACAGCTCTTTTCTGTGCTTGCCAAAGCCACCAAGCTCACAGCCTGAAGTTGTGCAGATACCATATACCTGAGGAAAACAGCTTTGCCAGGGAAAAGGGGTGGAAAAAAAAAATTTCACACCTTTCCTTGCCCTCAAGCAATATTCACACTAGGAATAAGAGTGTCCTTATAATTGGGACACAGATATACAAGAAAAGAGTATGACAAAGTCGTAGGCTTTGTGCCAAGGTGCCTTGCATTGCTTGGTCTGCTGGGTAGTTACTGCTTGATCAAAACAAACCTTGATTATTGGTACAGCTGTATTGAGAGATGTCACCCTTATCCAAGGTGGGAATAACTACATCTATCTAAGGAAGCATGGTTCTGCAGGACTTGTGTTGGCATAGTCTTCCAGCCTCCCTGCTCAGGAGGGAAGAATACAGAAAAGACCCAGGAGAGGCAGAGCCCTAAGACAATTTATGGCATATTCTGACATTTCCTCCTCTCCATGTCTTGATGTCCAGACGCAGCATCCCTGGCTGTGGCAAAGAAGGAAGAATCAACAGAGCTGGAACATGAGCAGCAGCAACAGCACTGTCAGCAGATGCAGCCAACAGCAAAAAAAGAGGTTCTTGCCAAAAAAGTTTTGTCTGTTGGCACCATAAACTTCATGCCATGAAGGTGCCATGATCTAGGCTATGAAACCT